TTTGGTTAATTTGGTTGGCATGACTGTGTTGTGGAAAGGTATAGGAGTATTTTTGTGTTGATTTCAAAGCTTGCCATGATCGGAGGTGGTGGGGTGGGGGTGATGAAGTTTCAGACATGGTGAGTTTTTGATCTCTTGGTTTTGGGGCTTATGCTTTGGAGGGTTGTTCCTAGCTAAAATGGACCTTAGGAATCCATTGGTGACCTTAGAAATAGATTTAGAAGTTTTTAAGATGGTTAAAATGCAAGTTGCTGGTTTGGCCATAGACTAGAAACCTTATTTTTGGTTTACTTTGACCGATTTTTTTTATGGGTTTAAGTTTAATTCGAAACTTGAGAATTATGGGATTTGTTAGGGTGATGTGTGATGAGTTCTTAGATTCAAAAATTAGGTGAAAATGTGTACTAAGTAGGGAGAAATAAGGGTGCGATGTATGGGGGTTAGGACTGGTGGAAGAAGCCTAGGGTTTTGGTCAAAGTGATCAAGGAAGAAGATGAAGGAGGAGGAAGTACACATTTTGAAATCATGTATTACATTACTTATGAGTTATTAATATATTCTAAAACTTATGATTGATGATTTTGAATTTGGATTGAAAATCTAGATCCAGAATAAGATTTTGAGTGCGGTAACGCACAATGGTCCAAAACGATGCAATTGTGGTGAATACAGAACATTAAGAAATACATTCCTCTGCATTGATTTGCATTAGTTAAACTATTTTTGATTCGATACTCATTTGCATTATGTGTTAACTGGTAGGATCGGATGCTACTACCTCGGTTATACATAGGGATCGACCGTAAAGAAAAGAAGGGTATCTGTCAGCGGTAAATGTGAAGTATACTGCTTCATAATACTTAGAAATAAAAGTATATGATATACCAAGTTTATTCTCTTATATGTGAGAAATCAAATTTTTCTGAATTGATTTGAGTTGAGTTGCTTAAGCTATGGATCAAATATGTTTTGTTGAGAAGTTTGTGGTTTGTTGAAAAGCTTGTGATTTGAGTAGTATCCACTGTGCTAGAGTTGTTGATAGCTTGACATGACTTACATGTTGTTGATTTGGACATTGCACAATTGTCGTGAGATAACTTGACATTGATTAAATGTTGTTGATAGCTTGACATTGCTTAAATGTTGTTGTTAACTTATAGCACATGTGAACTATTTATTATGTTGTTATATTGACAGAGATTATGAGTTTTTAAAATGAGTTGAAAACATTTTGATTTTGACGTTCTCCTCAAATTGTGAACATATTATGGTGAAATGATATTTGATTCATATTTTTAATATTTTCATTTATTATGATTCGCAATACACTTAAGAAAATTATTAGGGATGGAATCCCTAATCCTTTATTTTGACAAAAACGACACTATTGTGTACCCTGTTATATAATTCTCTATTTTGATGGTGGCATTAGGTGGCATTATATTTTTTTTTAAAAATACATTACTGCATTACAATTGCCGGTATTGCCACGTGTTGAGTTACACTTCCATCTCTAAAAAGCCAAAAAAGGTCTCTCAAGATGGGGTGCGACAATTTTGATATCCACTTTTATCATGTAGAGGACATGTGGTTGTGCACGTGCATTGCACACCAGTGTTTATGAAATAAAAGTTCAAATTCAATTGTTCTAGGTTTGCATGGTTCAAAAAAAAAAAAAAATTTCTAGGTTGTATCCCATGTTTTTCACCTTGTTCAAAGCAATTTTCTATTAAACCTAGAAAAGAAAGTCAAATCAGTTAATCCAGAATAATTACACAAAAATTTGTCAAATAAGGTAATATTGGCAAGTTAAAACCATCAATATAATTCATTGTATGCAAAAACTATCTAGAAAATGTGAACTAAAAAATTTTGAAAAAATCTGTTGAATACCAAAAAGGCAAAGATGACATGAATTCTTGCAAGAAGACAAAAGGTTGAGACAATTTTGTGGTGATATTCTATTATCTTGCCAAGTATGACAATTGAAGATATTTTGTCTGTTTAGTTTGTATCTCATAAATTGTTTTTTAGTTTTTGAAAACAATTTCTGGAAGAAAAACTGTTTTGCCAACTATTTTTTATTTTTGTTTTTTGAAAACTTGGGAACAAAAAATTAATATATTTAGAGAACAAGTTAAAGTAGTTTTGTGTGTTTTTTAAAACAACATTTCTAGAATTTAAAAAACACCACCACACTTCCACCACCACCACCACTATATTTCAACCACCACCACACTTTCACCACCATCACATTTCTATTTTCATTATTTTCTAGATAACTGTCCAAACAAATTTTACTGTTTTCTATTTCGTAGAACTATTTTTGGAATTATACAACCAGAGAAGTTATGAGATACAAAAAACACCAAAACATACTTTTATAAAACTCTTCCTAATATACTATTATTTGAAACACAAACCAAACATTAATAACAATCTTAAGTTTTACGTGATTTTTTAAGTGGAATAGGATTCAAAAGTATCATGTCGAAGTTATGGCGTGTACCACTAACCAATTGCCCTACATGCGGAACTCCGGCTAGAAGAAGATAAGATATTTAAATTTATATGAAGTTATGTAAAATAGATGTAGGCAATGTATCACATTGAGTATGTTATTACCATATTTGTAACATAATCCTGTATATAGCTAGAGTTTCATATTAAATGTTAACTCAATAACAAGTGACGAATAGATAAATTAGGTTTTAAAAATGAACTTTTTCGACAATAAACACCTTTAACATGAACCTTGGTGAGAATATGAAAAATATTGGATGATCAAATCTTCATAAGTACTTGTGGTTGTGCACGTGAGTTGCACGCCAATAGAGAAACTAGAATAATTGCACAAAACTTCAACAAATAAGATCATATCGACAAGTTAAAACTATTAATGCAGCTTAATGTATCCCAAAATATCTAGCAAAAAGAGAACTCTATAATATTAAGAATATGTAGACGGACAATCTTCCATCGTATTAGTTAGAAAAATGTGGGAAAAATTAAGAAAGAAGTGCAATAATTCTTCCTCTTAGTTGCGAAAGTTAAAGGACATTAAAAGAAAGAAAGAAAGAATGAAAGAACGAAAGAAAGGTTACTACCTTATTATACGAGTTGAGAAGAAACAAAACAAGAAAACCCTTGTTACAAACATTGTTTAATTTTTTTTCTTCCCATTCTTTTTCTTCCACATTTTTTTAGAATCAAGACAGTCCCTTCCCATTCTTTTTCTTCCACATTTTATTATAATTTTTCTTCCCATTCTTTTTGTTTAGAATTTTTGTACATAATAACGTGATTTGGAAATAATAATTAACCTAATTTACTATTAGCGATGAAATCACAATCGGTCTCACTAATAGATGAGATCATGAGCGTAATTGTCAATTCAACGGTGAGAGTAGATTAAATCAACAAATTAGATAACTAATTGGGTTTAACTTAGTTGGTTAATCTTAATTCTCTCAAGAATCTACCACCTAAGAAGTCTATGGGTCAATTCTTACTAAAGGTAGGCCTTGATTCCATAAGTCCCTCTCTTTTGAGCTTCTACTTCTCTTTTTTTAGACTTCTCTATAATCCCCCACATGGACACTTTCTATTTTGATATACGCGCATTGTTTCAAATTATAATAACTAATTGGTAATAATGAACTATCCATGCATATCAAAGAAAAAGAATAAATTAGATCCAAGTAATCTTTTTCGTAAATATGTACCACAATCTTCAATGAGATTTGTAACTTTTTTGTTTGAACTAGTTGGTCCCCATGTGCCTAGGCTAATGGAAAGGGCCACAACTCATCCTATCTAACATGAATATAGAAATATGCGTACTGATTGAACTTTATAATGATATTGTTAATTCTGTTTGGCACATAAGGAAATTACAACTTGCAAGTATCAAATCTTTCCCACCCTTGACTGTTTATGTGTTGATCTTATCCTAAAGCTTTTGATAAAGTTCACTAGTATTTATTAACTCGTACATTTAGACCCTCACGTGGTTATATGCCTTTCTGCTCCAATGTCTACGGAAGCAAACCTGCAAGCTGTCTTTCTTTGATATGCACTAATCTTGATTACTACTTTCTGCTGTCAAGTGAACACTAAATAACTAAAACAAACTTTGGCAATGTTTGTGTGTGTGTGAGCTTTATTTCTATGCGTGGAGAGATTTATTTTTAGACTCAAACCCGCCTTGTATTACTCAGATGGATGAGTGCTTATCATCACTATATATTGTTCAATTTGTAAGAAGGCAATTCAAATAGTTACAATTATATTTCTCCATTTGGGTGTAGGCTCAAATTTACTTAATTCATGATTCAAAGTATTGGTCGATGTTGATATGATTTGTCTGAAACATCTCTGAGTCAACTTTAGTCACCATCACCAAATTGCTTGATACCGTTCTTCGACTTTGGGATATGACTTGAATATATCTCAAATCATATTCAACTTCTTCTTCATTGAAGAATTTCATGACCAATACTATTATGTGATGCAGTGATTGATGCATATTATTATCCACTGAGTTGAAGGTTGATACTGTGACTTCACATGACTAAAACTACAACTCTAGTGGAAAAAAATAAATAAATTTCCCTACAACATGGCCCAACAGTTCAGACCACTTGCTTTTTCTTTACTTAATTTGTTAGCTTAGATTCTCCTTCAGTATTGCCTGTTAGCATGCTCTCACTTACATTTGACATAGTTCATCAGATTGCTTAGTGGCTTCAATCAGTCATTGTTTAAGGGACAGCTAACAAAAAACAATTGACCATATCAGTCACTAAATCTCTTTTGCATGTTGTAGTGCCATCTCTATCTCTCCTACCTAGGATCTCTTTGTCCCCCTTAGGTGTAAGAAACCTTTAGTTCCTTCTTATCAACATTGTTGTAGTGCCACCTCTCTCTCTCTCTCTCTCCAACTAAGTAAAAAAGAGACTAGTTCTATTAGCTTTATTTTTGATATGATACTGAAGAGCATGAGCAGAGTCTTCTTCCAAGTGGACAAGCAAGCAATGCAGGGAATGAAAGACAAGTCTCCAAAGTGTGATTCCACTATCAAATCTATAACTGACTCTGCTTGCTCTGCAGAGTCTTCATCTTCTTCTTCTAAGCAGGTGAGAAGATTTTCCAGCGTTTCGAAATCTTTCAAGAAGGATGATAAAGAAAACAATGACAAGCAGCTCAAACAGGCCGAAGAGTCACTCAGGACAGTCATGTACTTGAGCTGTTGGGGTCCTAACTGATGAACTTTTTAACTGAAATTTATAAACCCCAGCTCTGTTCATTCTCATGTCTTCTTATATGTGCATTTTGAGCTAGCTTATGTTTAAGGTACATAATAAGAGTGTGTTTGTTTAACACATCTGCTTGTTCTACTTGTTTCTTTGTTATCTTACATACATATTAAGCAAGGTGTAAATAATATATGTATGATTACAACAAGGAATGCAGTGGCACAACAACTAACTAGGCATGCTCCAAGGGAAAAAAAAATGTCTGCTTAAATTATAGAAAGTCAGTCATTTTGTTACTACCACATAGTTGAGTAGCTAAAACCCGCTAATTCTGTGGCAAATTCGTGTCGAGTTTGCCTGTCAAGTCTACAACTGCTACAACCAGTGCGGATTTATATGTCAACACATGGCATATGTCAGGAATTGTCGAGTAGTTTACAAAAACAACTCGGATAACATAAATTTTTTTTCATAAATCCTTGATCAGTTTCCATCAATTCATAAGACCAAAACCATATGCTTGATCATTCTATGATGATTCACAAGAACAAAAAACAAGTATTGCAACAAAATAACTCAAAAAAAAAAAAGTGATGAACAAAAAAGGGATTAAATCTCACAGAGAAGACTAATTGGGTCCCCAACAAATGAGGTGCATAACATTTTCGGCCTTCTCAGCTTCCCTCCTCATCCTCTGTTTTTCATCAACCTTAACCTTCTTTGCCGTCTCTACGACCATACCGGAAACTCTTCTAACATCAGTTGATTGTTCGGATTCCGATTTGGGTCTTGCCTGAGAAGGCTTGACGATCCCTTTAGAGTTGTGACCTTTTAGCCATTGAAATGCTCTAAGGCAGATTCTGCTCATGTGCCTCAAACTCATGGTCTTCTCAGTGGCTGGATCAGGATGGTTTTTTGAAACCGGATCAGGATGGTTCAGTAATCCATTAAAACGCCCAAGAATTACTGGCTATGCTTCTCAATTTAGCTGTCGAAAATTGGGGTGTGATTGAAGAATTAATGAAATAGAGAATGCCATTTAGACTGTCTCGAGCTTTCTTGGTGAAGAGGCAAAGCTACAGCAGTTAATGACACTCCGATTCCTAAAACAACAGTGGCCGTTGCTTCAATTAAGCCCTTAATTTTATTTTTATTTTTGTATCCATCGAGTCTAAACTCATTAATTGTAACAATTGAGCCATTTTGAGTACATCTGTTTAAATTTTTTAATGAAAAGTGACAGAGTGTGCAACCCACTTGATCGGCATGCAACTCATTGTATCACGTGAGTGACATATTTTGCCACTTTCTATTAGAAAATCTAATAGACACAAACATAAGGACTCAATTGCTACAATTAACAAGTTTAGGGTTCAATTGATACAAAAAAAAGTTCAAAGACTAATTGGCACACGGGTCATAGTTTGATGGTATGCAAGAATCTTGATTTTGAACGATAAACTTTTGAAACTTCCTAGAGCATGGTTCGATTAAGCCTTGAACAATCCAAGGATGAGCCCAAAAATCTCGGTATGCACACTCTCCAATGAGTTTGGTTGGATCTCCTAATTTAGATCTTGTTCACTAAGGATTAGAGAATCAAGGTGAGTTTTGCCTTTGGATCTTAGGGATAAGTGGTTCTTTTTGAAACTCTCAAGGTGTTACATAAGCAGATTTTTCCATCAAGAGACTTCTCTTTATCTTGTTCACGTAAAATCTATCTAAGAGGTTAACGGTGATGTGCTTTTATAATAACGCTACATATATAGGGCGATTATGAAAGTTCTACACTATAGTCTGTAGTACGTACTTTTGACGTTGATCGTTAAATCTTTATCTAATGTCCATTAATTAAAGATGTTCAAAATTAAACGTAAACATGTATCAAATTTAATTATATATTAGAAAGAAACATGAATATCATATCAATTATTATTCTAGTAATATGATGGTGTAATTTACACGGTTGTGTAACAGAGCTCGAGACTTAAAAAAAATGGGGGAAATGAGTTAAAGATTTATTAAGGATGATAATGGGTAGTCACTGGGGCACCTGTTTGAGCTACTAGGCGTGGTGAATAGCAAATCACAGAGACAACAACCATCAATTGAAATGAGATTTATAGTGGTTCACCAGCTTTGAAGCTTGACTAGTCCACTCTAATGGAGTCTCTTGTTCCTGAGGGTTTTTCCATTATTTGAGGAAGAAGAGTACAAGGTTACAGAGAGTTTATTCACTGATATTCTCCCTCTAAAGCAAGGGTTTGGTCCTTATATATAGTGTGTAGGAGTTTCACGTAGTCAACGTGATCTCTGGGTAGCTGCCGTGATCTTTGCGTAACAGTAGTGATCTCTTCATAACAAAAGAGATTCTTACATAATCAACGTGATTCTCTGGTGGTTATTACGATTTATGTGCCGAGAATCTTTGACCATTAAATGCTATATTCTCTAGGCATGATATGATTTTTTGGATGGTTTGAGATGTCGCTGTCACACTGTGCTCGAGCTGGAGGACCCGAGTTGGAAATCCAAGCTAAGAGATCCGAGGTGGAAGACTTGAACTGGAAGTCTGAGGTGCTCTGGGCTGAGCTTAACCTTAAAGAATTTTTGGTATCGTCATAATCAAAGAGAGTATATTGGTTGGACAGAAGAGTTTATGCACGGACTACTAGTTATAAAAGGGACCGAATCTGAGAGCTTGTAACATAGAGGCCAAAGAGTCCAGATTTTTGAAGAACTAGAGAGCTTGTAAAACGTGGCAATGATTCGTGAGGTGAGTTTGAGTTCTTGTGAAAAGACCATTCCGGTGATCGGCATGAGCACTTCCTCATTTCCTCCTGTTGATCCAGAAACTGCAAAATCAGCAATTCTTGAAGCCATGAAAGCAGGCTATCGTCACTTTGATACGGCCTTTATTTACGGATCCGAGAAGCCTCTTGGTGAAGCCATTGCTGAAGCTCTTCGTCTTGGCCTCATCAAGTCCCGTGAAGAGCTCTTCATCCCCACCAAGCTATGGTGCAGCTTCGCTGAACGTGATCAAGTCGTTCCTGCCTGTAAACTGAGCCTCGAGTAATTCTCTCAATTCCCCATTTCAACAATCTTTCTGACATACACTTGAGTGCACACACAATGGTAGACTCAAAACTTAAAACATACGAATTTACACCTCATCTTATATTTGATTACCGAATGCTTCTTGTTTTTGTGCACAGGAACCTTTAATTGGATTATGTTGACATGTATCTCATACACTTGTCACTGAGGTTTAGCCAAATGACTCGTCCAGTCCCAGTTCCCAAGGAAATGGTACATCCTTTAGATATCAAGTCTGTTTGGGAAGGCATGGAAGAGTGTCAAAGTCTTGGCCTCGCCAAGGCCATCGGTGTCAGTAACTTCTCTTGCAACAAACTTGAGGAGCTCCTCTCAGTGGCCAAAATCCCCCCTGCCATCAATCAGGTGAGTAATCAAGAGTTTTGGTCCAGAACATGGGCCAGTGGTCCCTACCTCATCGTCAAATTTTTTAAATGTCTGCATCAGAGTCTGATCGTGCTCAATGTTTGGTGCTGTTAAAAGGTGGAGCTGAGCCCACTTTGGCAACAAAAGAAACTGAGGGGGTTTTGTAAGGCAAAGGGAATTCATATCACTGCTCACTCTACTTTGGGTGCAAATGGAACTACGTGGGGAGACAACAGAATTCTTAAGTGTGATGTACTGGAGGCTATTGCCAAAGCCAAAGGCAAAACAGCAGGCCAGGTTTTTACATACTTAGTTTTGACATCTCAATGCTTCAGTATTTGCTTTTATATACGTGAAGGTCCAACGAGATTGCACAGAGTAAAGTTCCTTTAATCTAATTCCGCTTAAAACTATTATTTTTACTGGGGATTAAATTCAGTTTTAATCTAATTCCGCTTAAAACTATTATTTTTACTGGGGATTAAATTCAGTTTAAGAACCAATGTCATTCAATGAAAATTAGATCGATTAGCAGGGATGGTCTTAAATTTTTGCCTTAAGCCTCGCCATTGTGTATATTGCCCCAACTTTGGACATTTAACCTCAAATCCTGGTTTGCATTCTTCAGGTCTGGGTGTACGAACAAAGGGCGAATTTTGTAGCAAAGAGCTTCAACAAGGAAAGAATGAGGCAAAACCTTGAGATATTTGATTGGTCACTGACGGAGGAAGAATCAAACATGATCAGCCAACTTCCCCAATGCAAAGGCCACTCGTTTGCTCGATGCAGGCCTCCATGACCCCATGACCTGGTACTGGAGCTCGATGCAGGCCTCTAAAAAACTTATTAATACTTCGACTTATTCCCAACATCAAAAAAAAAAAAAAAAAAAAAAGAAGTTGGACCACCTGAAGCCCCAAGTGAATTTCAAATACTAGTTTGATTTGGTGTTGTATTAATGTGTAATGTCTGTCACAAATTACTTAATCACAATTGCTATACTTTCTATGAAAAAAATTAAAAATAAATAACATTTATTATTTATCTAATTTATATTGCAATAATTTCACATTTATTTGTATCTTCAAGAGGTTGTGTAGACTTAGAGAATGAGAATTAATATCTGGATCTACTACACCAGATATTAATTCAAAATGACATAGTTTAATGTTAATTTATATCAAAATGACGCCGTTCTGAACCCTAAAAATCCAACCCCTCTCTCTCGATCGATTGGTCAGACTATCCAGACAGCGCACCTCCATCCACCGGTGACGTCCCGAAGTATAAACGCTTGAGCAGCCAGCGGCCTCCTCTCCGGGTATTATCTCTCTCTGTGAGGACGATGATGAAGCTTACTCAGTCGAACTACGAAACAGACTGTCCTCTGTCGCTGAAGTTGTGATCGGGGAATTTGTAGGAGTACAAACAAATCCTAAAAACCCTAGATAAATTACTGCATTTACACGACGCTGGCTCGTAGAAGGAATACCCATTGAGCAAGAATAACTTCAGAAGATCATCACACAGGTCAGAAATTTCAGACGTTTCGAAGACGCCCTTGAGTCAAAATGAATTAATATAATAATTGTTAAAGAGTTGGAAAGTTAAATAGAGTCAACTTTTAATCTTTCATTTCTCTAGCAAAATATCTTTCCAAGTCCAAAACAATCTACATTAAATTCATAATAATTACAATTCTAGTCCTCTGGCTAATCAATTTTGACATAAATTAACCCATCCTTGTAGAAACATTGTTGCAATTGCAAAATTGATTTGTCAGACTTTTAACTTCCATTGGTGTCAATTGGGACCCCAACAGCTCAAGAACATGACTTTCTTCAGAGACTCCTCAGACTGCTGTGCCTGCTCTTCTCTTATTTTCCTTAATACAATAGCTGAAGATGATGATGATGATGATGATGGGGAGAGCTTCTTAGTTTGAGGGAAGGACCTGAGATTGGACTTAGCATATTGGTTTATGGACCTCATGGTGTAGTTCCATCTGCAGAAACCCTGATCTTTCAGTGCCTCCACTAGCCCAATGCTTCCTGCTACAACCCATGCTCTGCTTGCTGAACTCATCTCTCTCTTCTTTCTTCTTCTTCAAAAAAAATCCGTTTCTTCTCTTTTTGGCTCTGGTCTTCTGAGTATTTGCAATTCCAACTAGGAAAAGGAGGGGTTTTCAGTTATGAGATGAAATGGGTTTTCAAGAATTTGTGGTTTTGATGATGTTCTGAGAGGTGGCTGTGTATGTTTTATATATAGACACAGATGAGTAAATGAAATAGCAAAAAGGGTGGAGAAAACAAGAGGCGATAGCTTTTTTTCCGGTGTTTTGGGGGCTGGGAAAGCCAATGGTTTTGGGGGTGCTTGGCACCTGGTTTTTCTTTCACACTTTATTATTATAATATATTTTAGGCCATAGTTTAGGAGTAAAACCATTAGCTTTCTACGACATGGGACAGCTACGGCAGTAGCATATATTAGTGTACCAGCCACAGTTTTGACCCGACAGTAGTAGTGACCCAAAACTTTAATAATAAAAAAAACAGGCCCGCCACTACTGTAGCTTGTGGCGATAAGGTCAATGTTATCAAAATCAGATCCGTCGTTAAATGGGTAAAGGGACCGAATCTATGATTTATTAATTTACAATTGGTCAGATAGATCATATAATAAAGAAAATAAATATATATATATAATAATTATAAAACATAATAATTTAATTAAAAAATATAAAATATTTTTAAAATGTATACAATGTACTATAAAATTAATAAAATTAAGTAAAAAAAAACTCATGTGCCAAATATCAAAGTTCAACTTTAAAGCTCTAATACATAACAAAACAATCACTCCAAGTCCAAACCCCAAACCACAATCTTGATACACACCTCAAAACTTGCTGCCTGAACAGTGAACAGAACAGCCCAGATAGACACCTGAGTTGATCGCTGCCTGCTTGAGTTGATTGCTACCTGCCTGAGTTGATTGCTGCCTCCCGAGTGGTGAGACGAGGATGAAGAGCACTGGTCTGAGTGGTCTCTGTCTTATGTGATTTAGGGCAAAAATCAAAATGTCCCAAATTAAAAACAAAACATCATATTTAATTTTTCAGTTTTTTTTTAAATGGACTTCAAATCGGTAGGTTTGACGATTTTTACCCGATTCACTTTCGTATGCAGTTTGACTAGTAAACCGGACCAGTTGAGGCCTCAGGTCACAGTTGAACCGGTCTGATCAGCGGGTGCTGTCCGATTCTGATAACACTAGATAAGATAAATATTTTCGGGAAGTAAAAATCTAGAGTAAAGATGTGTTTACCGAAAAGGAAAAAATTATTGGATCTAATTTATTAATATTATTAGTCATAATTCTTGTTTGAAGGTACGATAAAATATAAAATTCTTCTTTTTTTTAATCAGAAATGATACATAAAATTTGAATACTTAAAAAATTGATCTCACTATATTAAATAATAAATTTTTCTTCATTCATTTCTTTGTTTACATTATTTAAAATTTAATTTTACCCATTATTTTTTAAAAAATATTGACAAATTTTTCTCAAAATACATAATTTCATAATTTCTTTTCAACAGATGTATACTATCATATATGTAATGTCTAAAATAAAAATTATGTTAAACTATAAATTAATCAAATAATTTTTGACAAAAAAAAAACTTGTGATAGAAATAAGAGATGTGATTTTTTGAGAAGATATATAAGAGATAAAAATTCAAGTTGTTAAACGTTTTATTATATAGATTTATTGACTTAATGCATTATATTCATTAAATTAGTAGCGGATCTCAACTAATTGTGAGTTCTGCTGTCAATTTAATGGCAAAAAAATGATAGGTGGGTCTTTTTTAACCCCACAAATCTTGCGTCTCACCTTTATGAAACTTTAAATTATAAAATTATTAATTTCACTCGTTCTATACTCACTCTAATTGTAACTAAATATACCTCATTCTTTACACACCCACTAAGAACTAAATTCATCTCAATCTTTACTTAGGATTTTTTTATAACCCATTGCACATAGTCTATACAAATAAATACTAACTTAATTATTTAGAATAAATCTCTCAAGTGATATTTAAGTTGATATTTGTTCCAAATTTATTTTATTTTACTGTATATATTTTTTTTATCAAAATCAATGATTTTCATTTAGGGTTTTTTTTTTATGTAAACTTAACTTATTATTTTTTTTTAAAGTCAAAGTCACATTAAATGATTAAAATATAAAAAGTATTTCAGTGAATGTTTATCCGTTCTTTTTTAAAATTTTGTTAACATTCAAACAAGGTTTTTTTTTTTTTTGTATATTTTATTCGAACTATAGTTGGTGGTATCCTAGCACATCAATACGTATCAAAGAATTCTTTTACACTTTTGTATTTTAGTTTAAACATTGCAAAAGTTAGATTTAGTCATTAATTGAGTGGGTATAAAATAGGAAGAACCAAGTCATTAGTGGGGTAAAAATAACAAAGGTGGACTCAATAATTTTATAATTGAGAATTTAATAGAGCGAGAAATGATATTTGTGGTGTGAGAATTGGGATCAATGGTTACCATCGTAAAAAGTTCGTGAGATCTACTGATTTAATAGTTTATAGTAATTTAGTAAGAAAAAAATTGATAAAAATTAATAATTTAGGCATCATAAATCAATAAATTAGGTCAAATTTATCTATTCTAAGTAGGACTGTCAATTTTCGACAAGGCACGTTAATACGACACGAACCGACCACGAAAATTAATAGGTTAAACACGACATTAAAAGAGTTAATGGGTTAAAACGGATCAACACGCTTAAACATGAAAAAAATCATGTCAGATTCATATCAAAATCAGGTCAACCTGATTTTGACCTAATTAATCCGTATATTTTAAACGTGTTGACATGATTCAGACACGAACCCCGACCTAACCTATTGTAGACCCGTTTAACCCGTCTATGACTGTATAATTTGTCTATTATGTATGATTAATATGATTTTAACATTATTACTTATTAGTTCTTCCTTCTACTATGATAATTGACATTATAATTTTTAACATTATTATGACGGTATATTAGTATAGTTCTTTCTTTAATTTTTACGTTAAAACTTGAATGTATCTTAGTTAATTTTATTGATGAGATGTGATATGTTATTTGTTAAAAAATTATTTAAAATTTTGAATTAATGATTGAATGATGTATTTAATGGTAATGAATTGGTGTAAAAATAAATTATGTGTATTAAACAAGTTTGTGTTATGCGTGTTAACTCGAAAACGATCTGTTTATCAAACGTTTCAAATAGGTCGAGTTCGGATAACCTATTTAATGGTCAGATAAGATTAATTTTTATACATCTCGACACGATTATTAAACATATCAGGTTTAGATTTCAAAAATTTTAATACAAACTCGAAATCAATCCAACACAATAATCTAATTTGATACATTTGACACCCCTAATTCTAAGGATCTTTGCCATTTGAATATTAGCTCTTTTGACAAAATAATTGACGAGATAAAAATGCTGCATGTCTCCCCCAATTCGTTGCCAGATGCTCCGAACGACTATTTGTGGCTATACTATTCTATCATTAATATGGGGGTGTCACTAACTCTTTATAAAACAAGGGGGATCCGGTATTAACCCATGGACATTAGCCAACCCAAAAAATGTAGCCAATAATAAATTCATTCACGTCGAGATTAAGATATTCATGAGGTATAAATCTCTCGTATGTTAATCATAACATATTGTTAATATATAAATCAAGACGTGAAATTCAAATGATCTAAAGTTTGTTGAAAACACAAAATTACCTTTCTACTCTTAGTCTTATATTTTGGATCATATTTTTAATCTTTTAAAAAACATCTAAAATATAGAGAAGGAAAAAAAATCCCAATCACCTCCCTAACCAATGACAGTTGACGCCCCCTTCCCAAAGATGAACCCACCCTAATTCCCCTTCCTCTCCCTCCTTCCCTGGCCAAAACTATTTTCCTTGCCAACTCCCTAGCCTCATTCCTCCGGTTGAAACCACCTGCCTCCAAGTCCGCATAGCCATTATATAGTCGGAGTTCCTGTGGTGGTTGTGACGGTGCATTCACGGCAGCGATGTTGGTAAGGTTTGGTTTTGGTGGGGCACTTGCAGTGGGTGGTTGGTAACTTGTGAGGGGTGCTTGGCTTGGTGAAGGCTGTGTTGGAGGCGGGGGCGTTGAAGCTGCTCGCCCAATTAAGTGAAGATAAAATAAAAAAAGGAGTGCCAATAAAGTTGTAAGGATACAAAAATAATTATACAAATTTCCGTCCTCCTCTCTTGTCAATTTAGTCCATCTAAACTTGAAGGGCGTAAATTATTGAAATTAAAACCAGGAGTCAATTGTAACAAAACCCAAACTTGAAGGGCAGTAGCGAATTGATTGGGAACTTTGCATTGAAGAAATAGTTTGGATTTTCACTAATCTTTTAACAAAAGAGTCTCCCTTCTATTATGGAGAATACAATGAGTCATCATGCACTCTTCATCAATAATTTTCTCTCTCTTTCTAAGTTTCTTACCAAGAGAGGGAAAAATGATGATGGGTATGGGTGGGTTCAATTAGGACCCCAACAACTCAAATACATGATTTTTCTCAGAGACTCCTCTGATTGTTCTGCTTTCTCTTCTCTTACTTTACTTGAAACTACTGCAGAAGATTGAGATCCAGAGGGCCTCCTGGTCTGAGAGAAAGACCTGAGGTTGTTCTTGGCATGCTGGTGTAGCGATCTTATGCTATAGTTCCACCTACAGAATCCTTGATCTTTCAGTGCCTCCACAGCGCCAATACTAACTGCCATAACCCATGCTCTGCTTGGTGAACCCATTTTTTACTCCTTCAGAATATTCTTCTTCTTTCTTGTGATCTTACGAGTGTTTTAAGCCACGAACAGGATGTTTATTCACGGAGAGAGAGAGAGAGAGAGATTTGTGTTTGTGATGAAGTTCTTGAGATAAAGAAGTCTATATATAAAACAGAGAATATATAAAGAGAGCAGACCAGCGAGTATAAAACCAGGGCCTACAGGTTTCGCCGGTGGTTTTGGAGGTCTGTGGAAGCCAACGGTTTTTACCTTTTTGTTGGGATTAGCCAGGATGTGCCGGAATGACTGTTTTGGCCTTTTTGTTCTCCTCATAAATCACATGTCAAAACTCACAATTATTAATTAGGTGGGAGATAAAGGATTAGTCTATTGTAGCGGGGGGAAAGTATAATTTTTTTTTTTCTTTATACCTAAGTACTAGAACAAAATTGACAAGGTTAATACAAATTCACAAGAATGACATGGGCTATAA